GTGTGTGTGTGTGTGTGTGTGTGTGTGTGTGTGTGTGTGTGTGTGTGTGTTTAGGAGGGCCACAGCACACATGTTCATCAAAAAACAACTTACAGACGTTTTGTTATCTCCATCCACAATATGGTTTCTAGGAATTGAACTCTGGTCATTATGCTTGACAAAAGCCTTCTTTTTGGTTTTGATTTTTTGAGACAGGGTATCTCTGTGTAGCCTTGGCTGTCCTGGATTCACTCTGTAGACCAGGCTGGCCTTGAACTCAGAGATATCCCTGCCCCTGCCTCCCTGAGTGCTGAGATTACAGGCATGTGCCCCCACATCTGGCTGACAACAGCCATCTGACTGGCTCCAGACTCCTTTTTGAGAGAGAGGGAGAGAGACAGATCTGTCTCACTTAGGTTGTCCAGGCTGGCCTTGAACAAATTCAGCCTCCTAGGAAGCAGTGATCACCAGCCTATACCACCAGACCTGGTTTGGGGACACCTTTTGTGTTGTGTGCTGTGTACACAAGGTTAGTTTTCCAGAACACAGAGTCTAAGAGCATATCTGTGTCTGGGGAGGTAGCTCACTGGCATAGAGTACTTTCTGTGCTAGCTTGAGGACTTCAGTGTGAATTCCAGCATCCATGCCAAAAGCTTGATGTCGCCTGGTGCACACATATAACCCGCTGCTGTGTGGGCAGAAATAGTGTTGCTAGGGTTTGGCAGCTGTGAGTCTAGTTCCAGGATCCATGAAAGACCTTGTCTCTACACCTGTTTCATTCCCTGTTGAGGATCATGGGCTGTGTTAAGACATAGCTCAATTTCTGAATAACTTCTGCTGTGTGGGATTTCACTTCTTCACAATTACCTGGAATTTCTATGATGTCTGGTAGGCCGCTCAGAGGTAACAGCTGCCTTGTAAAATTGCCCCTGGACCCTCACACTGGATCTCTAGTCTTCTGAGAGCCACAGCCTGGAACGTGCTCCATAGGGATCCGTCCCTAGTGTGAGAACAAGGATGAACAGTATGTTTGGATGGATATGAACTCGTGTGAAGGTAGCTGGCTGTGGTGGCCCACACCTGTAATCCAAACAAGACTGACTCATTCCCAGAAATCCAAACTAAAAGTCAGTGTGTTGTATGCCTGTCAATCCCGCACTCTGGAGGTTAAAGACAGTGCTGGCTACATACTGAGTTGGAGGCTAGCCTGAGACCCTGCTTCAAAAACAAACAAAAGACATGACCTAACAGTATTTCCTCACAGAGCCCTCAAGACCTGTCTTACTTGGAGCCTGGCCCCTCCACAGAACTTCAGCTCCTCGAGACCAACTGGTATCTCCTTATTTTGGCAATGTATTGTTTTGCTTCTGCAATCTCTTAGGTCAGTCATCCCACAGATAACTGCCACGCTCATTTCCTTAGTTCTTTATAGTGTCTGCTCACTTGTTATCAGAAAAGCTACCCTACCACCCACCCTATGAAAAATGGCAACTCCTCCACCCCTGTGCTCTGTGCTTCCTATTTTCTTTCACTGCTTTGCTTTTTTGTTGTTGTTGTTGTTGTTTTGTTTTGAGATAGTGTCTCCATGTAGCTCTGCCCAGCCTGGAACTTGCTGTGTAGATCAGGCTAACCTTGATTCACAGAGATCTGCTTGCCCCTGCCTCCCATGTGCCTCTGTTCCTTCCTTCCTTCTTTTTTTTTTTCTTTCTTTCTTTTTTTTTTTTTTTTTTTTTGGGACAGGGTTTTTCTGTGTACCCTTGGCTGTCCTGGAGCTCACTGTAGACCAGGCTGGGCTTGAACTCACAGAGATCCATCTACCTCTGCCTCCCAAGCTGTTTTTGTTGTTGTTTTTGATACAGGGTTTCTCTGGGTAGCTCTGGCTGTACTAGAATTTGCTCTGTAGACCAGGCTGGCCTCAAACTCAGAGATCTGTCTGTCTTTGTCTCCCAAATCCTGGGAGTAAAGGTGTCTACCACCACTGCCCAGGGGCCTTTGTTTTTGTTTTTTGACTCCAAGACTTTCAAAGAAAAACAAATACTATTGTAAACCTTTTTAAAAATATATTTATTTTTATTTATGTGTTATGTATATGTCATGTGTGTGCAGGTTCCCTGGGAGGCATGAAGAAGGTGATATGTCCCTTGGAGTTGGAGTTACAGGTGTTCCCCAAGTACCTTGACACAAATTAATGGAACTTGTGTTCTCTGGCAAGCAGGAAACAGTTCTTAAATCCTAAAACAATACAGGGAGGAGGTAGCGCATACCTTCGATCCCAGCACTTGGAAGACAGAGGCAGGCAGATCTCTGAGTTGGGGGCCAGCCTGATCTACAGAGTGAGCCCAGGACAGCCAGGACAATTTAGTGACACCCTGTTTCAAAAACAAACCAAAGTAATGAATAAATTAGTTTAAACATTTTTATTTTAGCATAGTGTGGTGGCACATGCTTTTAATCCCAGAACTTGGGAGGCAGCAGAGGCAGGTGGATCTCTCTCTCTCTCTTTCTCCCTCTCTCTCTGGTTTTTCAAGACAGGGATTCTCTGTATAGGCCTGGCTGTCCTGGACTCATCATGTAGACCATGCTGGCCCCACATTCACAGGGATCTGCCTGCCTTTGCCTCCCCGAGTGCTGGGATTACAGGCTTGCACCTCTGTGCCCGACACAGTGGATCTCTTGTGAATTTGAGGCCAGCCTGGTCTACATAAGAAGTTTGTGAGTGTTTTGCTTGCATGTATGTAGATACACCACATACCACACACATACACCAGATCTCCTGGATTTAGAGTTCCAGATGGTTGTGAGCCACTGTGTGGTGCTGGGAATCTCTATTTTTGTTTTGTTTTTTTTCCAAGACAGGGATTTTTAGATATCCCTGGCTGCCCTAGAACTAAACTCTCAAGCTGGCCTCAAACTCACAGATTTAAGGATATAGTGGTGTGCTAACACACCTGGAAAATTTTATTTTATTTGTAATTGTGTGTTCATGTGTGTGGATACATGTGGAGACTAGGTTCTCTCCGGTCCTTGTAGGTTTTAGAGAGAATCTCATGTAGGCAAGACTGGCTTTGTAGTTCTGCCTCTACTTCCTAAGTCCTGATATGACAGGCCTGGCTGTCATTCCACGGCTTGTTAGATTTCTGTTCTGTGTAGAAGTTAGCCTATAGGACCACTGAATTTGTTGCCATTATTATTATTATTATTATTATTATTATTATTATTATTCTGCCTAGATTTACTGTAATGACCTTCTAATTCCTGACCTCTCTTTTCCCACAGTGCACTGGGACTTACTATACTATT